TGTGTGAATCTTTGTGAGGTATTGAGTCATGTTTCATTAAAGTTGGCAATTAATTGAGATATCTTGCTTACTTTAACTTTTCATGGTTGTACCTTTGCTTTATTGTTACTTGAATTCGGCAAATAACATGGACTTAGTTCGATTGGAAGTTTGAGGAATAAATTGAAATTGAAGATGACAACTTGTGATTTGGATGTATTAATTGATGAATGCTTGAGGACAAGCATTGAATAAGTGAGGGAAAATTTGATAAATGCTTAATTTAGTTAATATTTTGCTTTTAAATTACTCCTTAATCATTGGTTTTTGTGGCTTAATTGTTCGTTTTGATTCAATTTCTGTGCAAGACGTCAGATTCTAGAAATTGCACAAAATGAACATAATTCTGCAGTTTTTTTTCGGAATCAAAGATGGCTGGAATTCGTATTTGAATTAAACTCAAGTTTAGGATAATATTTTAAACATTATACTTTATCTTTTTATTTTAGTTTAAAATAGGTTTGAGTATTTTAATTAAATTTTAGGATATTTTTTTATATTTTATCTTTCTTTTAGGTATTTTAGTTTAAATAGGTTTTTAGTATTTTAATTAGGAATTAAAATATTATTTTAAACATTATTTTTTTAGGTATTTTAGTTTAAATAATTTTAAGTGTTTTAATTAGGATTTAAGATATTTTAGCTTGTTTTTAGGAATTTGAAGGCTATAAATACCCTCTCAGGGTAAGCCTAGAAACATATATCTCTCATCTAAGAATAAAATCTTCTTTTTCTCTTTAGCTTTCTCTCTATTTTTCACATGTTTTTCAATTATGCTAAGTATGACTTTGTCATGCTTAGTGATAACTGTCGTTTTTCTATCAAAATAATTCATGGATTCTTAATAAATAAATATGAAAAGGTAGTATAAAGAAGCAGGGTCGATCCACAGGGACTATGGTTTTTATGATTTAATAAAACTATTTCTTGATTTTAGGAAAAGATAGAATTCAAGATGAAGTTGAAAAGATATATTAAAATAAAATAAAAAAAGGAAAAATAATATAATAATAAATAGTAATAGTAATAAATACAAAAGGGAGATTTTTAAAAGTTGTTTTTAAAATAAAAGATAAGAATTAAATAAAAGAAAAATAAATAAATTAAAGAGATTGAGATAAATGAAAACTTATTGTGAAAGCAGCCTCAGATTTCAACTTTGTCTCAAATTCCTCGGATCATCGAAACTGATTTTTACTTCAAGATTTACGTCGGTTACTGCAAGAACAATTCTTTGCTACCAACTCGGATTGTGTCGTTTCAATAACAACTGATTCTGATCTCAGTTTCCTCTTAGCAAACAATTTTGTTAAGTGTGTTCTCGGAAAGTTGAATATGCTTCAATAAGAAAATCCTTCTTTAAACATTAACCATAACAATATCCGAACCAATGTCGATCTTGATTTGAAAAGTAAGCTCAGAAAACATAGAGAAAATCTAAAACGATTTAAGTACCTTACAATTCTCATGTTTGGAATTGAGCCTTCGCTTTAGCCTTCGGCTTGAAAGAAAATTAACTAAGCATAACCAAAGTCATACTTAGCATGATAGAAAAGTATGCGAAAAATAGAGAGAAAGCTAGAGAGAAAAATGAGATTTTATTCTCAAATAAAAGAGATATGTTTCTAGGCTCACCCTTAGAGGGTGTTTATAGCCTTCAAATTCCTAAAAACAAGCTAAAACATCTTAAATCCTAATTAAAACACTTAAAACTATTTAAACTAAAATACCTAAAAAATAATATAATATTCTAAATCCTAATTAAAACACTAAAACCTATTTCAACTAAAATGCCTAAAACAAAGATAAAATATAAAAATAATATCATAAAACTTAATTAAAATACTAAAAACCTATTTAAACTAAAATACAAAGATAAAATATAATGTTTAAATATTATCCTAAACTTGAGTTTAATTTAAATCCGAATTCCAGTCAGCTTTGATTACGAAAATAAAAAAAATTGCAGAATTGTGTCTTTTTTGTGTAATTTCCAGAATCTTACGTCTTGTACAGAAAATGAATTAAAATAAACAAATAAACCACAAAAATCAATGATTAAAGAGTAATTTAAAAGTAAAATATTAACTAAAATAAGCACTTATCACTTAGCTAATTTTCTTTCAATCCGAAGACTAAAGCGAAGGCTCAATTCCAAAAGTGAGAATTGTAAGGTACTTAAATCGCTTCAGATTTTTTTTCTGTTTTCTGATCTTACTTTTCAAATCAAAACGATTTCGACATTAGTTCGGATATTGTTATGGTTAACGTTTGAAGAAGGATTTGCTTATTGAAGCATATTCAACTTCCCGAGAACACACTTAGCAAAATTGTTTGCTAAGAGGAAACTGAGATCATAATCAGTTATTGTTGAAACGACACAATCCGAGTTGGCAGCGAAGAGTTGTCCTTGCTTGAAGTAAAAATCTGTTTCGATGATCCAAGGAATTTGAGGCAAAGCTGAAGTCTGAGGTTGTTTTCACTATAAGTTTCTCTTTATCTCAATCTCTTAGATTATTTATTTAATTATTTTCTTTTATTTAATTTTTATCTTTTATTTTAAAAACAACTTTTAAAAACTCATTTTTTTATCTTTACTACTATTATTTATTATTTTATTATTTTCCCTTTTTATTTATTATTATTTATTTTATTATTTTCTCTTTTTAAATTATAATTATTTATTTTATTTTATTATATATTTTCAACTTCATCTGGAATTCTATTATCCTCTAAATCAAAGAGTTTTACTAAATCACAAAAAACCATAGTCCCTAAGGATCGACCCTACTTCTCTATACTACCTTTTCCTTTCTATTTAAGAAGCCATAATTATTTTGATAGCAAAACGACGGTTATCAATGTTTTTTTTGAATTAGTGACTAAAAGTGGATAAAACACAAACATAAATGATTATATGTGTAGTTAACCATTTTTTATTATTATGAGATAAATATAAGGTAGTATGATAATTCTCGACCATTTGATATTGAACGCTCACATCCCTAACAATCCTAGTGCTCGAACCAGTAACCTCAAAAAATAATAACAATTCATTTATCACCAACATCTTTCGTGTCATCCTAATTCATATAATTTTTTCTTTAATTCAAACCAAACTTATCCAAATTATTTTACTTTTTCTGTAATACAACTTTATTTTATACTTATTTATAGTGAAATCAAAACATAATTTTATACAAATATAATCCTTAAATGAAATCAAAATATTACATAATCAAGTTGTATAAGATACAGACACAATTTCACGTCCGAAAAAGATGAAAGAACATAAAAATCGAAAAATGGCTTCTTAAACCCTTCAACAATGCAATAATTATAACACAGCAGTGAAAAAAAACATCACAAGTAACAAGGATGCCTGGAAAGAAAGAGGGGAGGCCTTTGATGGATAGTAGTAGTAAGGATATGGATATTCGTGCGGTCCTAGTCCTGTAGGTAGCCCTTGACCTTGGCCTGGAGGTGCGTTGAAGAAGTACACAAAACGAGGCGGCGGAGGACTGGCCTTTGAAGAATATGATGATTGTGCCGGTGGGGGTGGGGATGGGGTTGGCCGCGGTGGAGATGGAGGAAATAATTCAAATTCTAATGGTGGTGGGCAGTGAGTGTCGTCAGATCCTGACGGGGACCGTGGGGTGTAATAAGGTTCGGGCGGAGAGAGGTGAAGTGACGATGATGATGGTGGTGGCGAATACGACTTCAACAGCGGTGGATGTGGCGGTGAACAAATGACCGGACATGTTGCACAATCACTGATGCATAATAACCCGGGTGAAGCTGATGATGTCCCCGTTTCATGCTCTGATGTTACACTAGCTAGCATGATGATGCCCGTGATCGCCAATTTCATCCATTTGCTTCCCTGAAAAACTCGACTGTCACCAAAGCCCCTCACCATTTTCTTTTGTTGGGGGAAGGAGGGAGGCATAAGCTGAAAGAAACCTATTATACTACACTTATCTTGTCTTTAGCTTTTATCAAGACAACGCCAAATGAACACTAAGCACCTTGATGCTCCACTTTACCTTTATCATGCGTGTTTATGGCTCTTCTAAAAATTCTGGTTTATGAATGCATTGCCTTACCCTTGACTGCATTCAGTATTATATATACTTGTTTGGTACTACCAGTCTTACTTGTACCTTTGTGAGCATCAATCTCACCCTTTACACTTTATTCACTGTCTATGCTTTTCTTTCACTGGAGGGCTCTCCTGAATCTCCCTTTTTTCTCATTGCAAGTTTCCAGTGAATTCTTTGCTTGTAGCACCATTTTGAAGAGTTTAAAGTTTGATTAGGTAAAGTCACAACTTTCCTCAAGGGACATTTTTTATTCAATTCAATTTCTTTGAGTTTTTTCATATACTCCGAGGATCATACCCCTACACATATCCGAATATATATCGGATATAAGTGTTAGATATGAATATTTAAATAAGAAAGAAAAGTTTAGGAGATTTACTAGGATTGCTAATATATCGAACTTAGACTACATTATATATCTAAGAATAATACAGGAAGTAAATTTCCAATTCTTAAAAATAATTAGAAAAAAAGGGACTGCTAATTGTTCTGCAATCACAAACATGAAGTAGCTTAGTAAGGGTTTTTATTTTATAAAAAAGAATAAGGCTTGCCTTTCGGAAGCAGCTTCCTGCAAGCACAAAAGAGATAATGTAAGCGTACAGATTTCCTATGTTTTTTTGTACAAACCAGAATCATTCTCTCTTAGTCTTGTTCTTTTTTTCTTCTTCTTTAGATGCAGGCAGCTTCTTTCCCTCAATCCTTCAATCTAGTCTGGAATTTCTTACAGAAGTTGCAGTCATGCTCGATGATTCCTAGCCAATAAACAACCAAACTATGTAAGAAAGCCTGGTTTCAAGAAAATGTATCTAATTAATATCTATAATAGATAAGTCCCAAACCTCATCTTCTGATAGCATCGGCTACCTGCAATTATTACTGCGACCACGAGAGTCGGAGCTCATTCCGAAATCTCTTAATCGGTTAAGTTCCGGCACTATAACAGTTCCAAGATCGGGTCTGTCCTTCTTCCTCAGCTCGACACACTTGAGGGCTAATCGAGCAAATGCTAAAGCCTCTTCAAGTGGCCAATTTGGCACAGCTGGATCAAGTACATCAAGTAAAGTTCCTTTCTCAATGGCCCTTCCAACATGATGAGCAATACCCATTGGAGGCTTGGCTGTAATAATCTGGAGCAACATTATTCCGAGGGAATATATGTCTGATTTAGTTGTCAGCATGCCTGTTTGTTGATATTCAGGATCTATGTAACAGAATGTCCCTGCAGCTGAAGTCATGTGATATTGTGTCACACTGTCAGCTACAGAAGGTGGTACTAGTCGCGCTAGGCCAACATCAGCGATTTTGCTCACGTAATTGCGGTCTAATAGAATGTTAGCCGGCTTGAGGTCCCGATGCACTAGTGGTTCTGGCTTCGCTTGGTGAAGGAATAGAAGGCCAGTCGCAATTTCTGCAGCTATGTTAAATCGCTTTCTCCATGAAAGTGGAGGAGTATTTCCCTTTCGAAATAGTCTGTCCTCTAAGCTTCCATTAAACATATATTCATATACCAAGCATCCATACTCGGGACAGGCACCAAGGAGAAGGACCATGTTTGGATGTCTCATGCAGCAAAGAACCTCAACCTGAATTATGTTTGTAGTTATGCAACAAATTAGCTTAAGACAACCATTCCTGCAAACATTTTGGTCTATTCCGACATGATGACTTACCTCTTGCTGGAACTGTTTCTTTCCTTGAGCAGCGTCCGGTCTTAGAACTTTGATGGCAACCGGAGTGTGATCGAGTTTGCCTTTAAAAACAGGCCCGTAACCCCCTTCTCCAATCTTATTAGATGCTACAAAGTTTTCAGTTGCTTCTTCAATTTCTTCGATGGTATATTTTCGGTATCGGACATCATTCTTTGCCAAAACACTCAAAGCACGAGTCTTCTCGTCAGCCTCCTTCTTGGCTTTAAGCTCTGCTTGTCTTCTTCTATGTGCTTCCATCTCCGCCAGTTTTCGCGCTGCCTCGGCTGCTTCCATGGCAGCTTTGCATTTGGCCTTCTCCTTCTCTGCCATGGCAAGAGCTGCCTCTCCTGCTTGCTTAGCTTCCTCGAACTTGCGTGCCTCCTCCATCTTCCACTGATGAAGCTCCTCAGCCTGGACCCCCAAAAATTGACAATGTTCACAAATTGATATTCTTGGAATATAGTGATGATATAGGTATAGGGATTACCTTTCTTTTGGCTGTAAGAGCTTCTTTGCAAGCTGTGCTGTACAAATCCATGGTTTGCTTAAGTTCAAGCTTCAACCTTCTCATTTCAGCTTCGATGTCTCGCTGCATTTCAGGGGCCATGAATGTTAGCAAATCTGCCCATTAAAAGGCAATGCTTTACTGTTTAAAAAAACCCAGTTTCTCTGAACTCTTCTTACTGTGTTTTGAGGAAGTTGCCCAGTAGGGGTGGCCGAAACCATAGAAAAATCTAAATTTTGGTCATTAAGATCGATAGATCCATGGGGAATTTTGTTTAAAAAATCTGTATCGATAGCTAAAGTATCTTGGCTAGATGAAGGCTGTGCCGCAGCCGCTCGCATAGCTGCATCCATGTCACCTGACAGATTTGCCGGCAAGCTTTTTCGTCTGTCACGGTCACGCATAGGTAACTTGGGGGGATTATCAACTGACTGTCTATCTGTTCCATTTCTCGACTCTCCCCTAACAACTTGTCGTCTATATAAAAGATACAATGTCAACAACAACGGTAAATCATCAATTCAATCAAATAGTAAGAAATGTAAACCTATTTTCCCACCGCACCTGCCTCGTTCGTCTTCAAGTTGATCCGATGGAATATGCGGTGGCATTCCGGACGACATTTTTGGCGGGGCAGCAGTGTTCGAAACAGGCCGCTGTGCGGTTCGCATAGTCAATATCTTACCTTTGGAAATCACATACACAGAACAAAACTCCGGCGCGCTTCTTATCAAGATTGCAGGAATGTCATTCTTGGATTTCCTATAATTTAAATAACTGAAAACTTTGATTGTTAAAAAGTTATATCAATTTACTCGATTTGTTTGAATCAAAAAGGAAGATTACGTTACTTAACCTTGATAAGCTATTCCTCGTTGCTGCACCAATAACTAGATTGTTAATCAAGTTTTTGTGAACGTAGTCCAGAAGTGCTTTGCAGACATCTGCATCTTCCAGGATAACCTCCTCCAATTGAATCTGAATTTGAAATTTATTTGATCGGATTTTAATTTTTTGAAATTTTATACTTTGATCATATGTTCTCTACGATAACTGCTTACCCCTTTGCGTGCACAGTAGCCGCGAAAAGGAATGAAAAGCTGGTTTACGTCATAATCAGACTCGTTGTCACCCTCTGCATGTTGATTTAAGGACAAAATGAATCAGAAAAAAAAACGAACGCCTTTTGTAGATATTTATTAAGGGTATGATGTAAGAGAGAGGATACCGACGGTTTTTATGCTTAACATGGATCAAGGTGACGAATGGATTGGAGACGACAAGATGCTCGACGGCCCAACGTACAGCTTGTGGGCTATTTTTATCTTTGTCGATGGCCACCGCCGTGGTGTGGCCCGGTACGTTTTCATCAGATGAGAAATGAGGAGCCATCTCTGGGAAACGAATCAATAACTTTCGTCTCTCGGCAATTTTGTTAAAACTCTGTGTTCCGATAGATTAAGTTACCGGCGTCGCAACCACCAGGCCAACGCGTCCTCCTCCACCTCCTGCTATTTTGCTTTTTTTTAAAAAAGAAAAGAAAATGGGAATGTGCAAGCAAGGAAGAAGAAGGCTTGTTCGCTCCTGGTGTTTAGGGTGCAATGAAATATTTGATCGTGTAATGAGGTTTTAAGAATCTATTTCCGTCATTGCCTTGGTTTAGGCCATTTAACCTGGCCCGTCCCTTCAAAAACCAAAACATGCGAGGAAAATAATAATAATAATAAGGGTAAACTACTTCAACTATCACCAACCTTTAAACGTTGATTCGTTCATACCATTAACATTTTAATTTTATCAATTTTAACACTAATTTTTACTTTTAAGTATAACTATGCTACTCCGTCATTAATAGATTAACGAAACAATGACATGAGAATAGCATGTGATATTGCTAACGTGGTTACTTCATGAAAATAACGTTATTTTAACGTGATTGATTTAATACTTAAAATATTCAAAACGACGTCGTTTTACTTAAGATAAAATATTATGTTTTGAGAGATTCCAAGTCTAAACCAATAAAACTTGGGTTTAAATCTTAACCATGGCATCATCTTGAGTTTTTGTTATGTTTTTTTTAAACTTCTAAAAACTTATTCTAAAATTTTAAACAACATAGAGACAAAACCCATTCAAACACCGAACTACAGAAATAATTAAAAGCTAAACCAATCTCCTTCAATGAACTCATATTCTGGAATATTTTAATGGGGATTTTACTACTGAAATTGTTACCAGACACATCGAATGATTCCAAAGAACTGTCAGAACCAAAGCTACTAATAATCAAGGCAGAGAGATTATTATAAGAGAGATCGAGCTTAACAAGTTTCGATCTCCCCTTGAAAATTGTTTTCAGCTAAATAAAGATACTGCAAATTAGAAGTTGGCAAAGCTGGAATCTGATCGGAAAACTGATTACTCGATAGATTCAAGAAACTAATGTTCACACATGAAATCGCACGATCTATATCACCGGAGAACTTGTTTCCGGAGATATCAATATGTTTCATGGCCGAGCAGTCACAAAATGAAGGAATCGCAATTGAAAAATTGTTCGATGAAAGATCCAAAACTGCAAATTTTTGCAGTTCGCGACGTTTACTTCACCATCAATCTTGTTCCCTTTCAAGTCCAAGAGCTCTAGCTCGCCGCACCCAGCGTGGAGGATCCAAGGAACCACAATGTCACCGGAAATCTTGTTGAAAGAGAGATCAAGAAAGGCCTCATTTTTAGTGGTAAATTTGAAGCTACAAGGGTACGTGTTAGCAACACAGTTTTGGAGGAGAGATGGGCTAGGCGAATTCGCTTTAAACTTGAGCAATAATTGAGAATCGCCACCAACTTCAACACAAATAAGAATGGTGGCGATGAAAAAGCAAGTCCAAAAAACAAAGAAAGGCTTCATTTTTAGTGGAAAATTTGTGGATTTTTCATACAAGCAATAGCTTAAGAAACACAATAGGAAGAAAGCGTTTAGGGTTTGAGCACCTCCATTAGAGAGACAATAAATGAAGCTTTGAGCTTTGGGTTCAGGTCGTTTTGAGCATTTTAAACATTAAACCAGTCGCTTCAAAACGAGATTGTTTTATTGAAATAATCATGTCAGTAATGTTACAACACGTTTTCACGTCACCGTCGGTCCATCCAGTTAATCCATTAATGGCGAACTGACATAATTATATTTAAAAGTAAACATTAGTGTTAAAATTGATAAAATTAAAACGTTGATAGTATAAACGAATCAATACTTAAACGTTGATGGTATTTTAAGTAGTTTACCCTAATAATAATAAAAGGTACTTTTGAGTTTATCAGCAGTTTTTTTTGTTTATTTTTACTATAATTGGAGCATTCTCCCATCACTCGATCAAATCAAGATTAATGATATTTCATAAGATGTTTAAAGTAACTAAATCCCTTGCGTATGCCACACTTCTTCATAACTTTCAAATCATTACGTACGCTCTAAGTTTGTTTATTTTAAAGCTTACGATTTAGGAAATTGTATGATCAACACTCGAAGTTAATCCCCGTTTTTGTCTTATGCCTAACTAAGTTGGATAAGGGAGAAAGTAGGGAAGGTATAAATACTCGAATCCGACCCGTTTCGACTTAACCTGACTTTATAAGAGTATGATTTTTTGAAATTTTGGGGCTTGAGTAGGGGCGGGATGAGTTATACAGTATAATTTTGGGGCAAGCCGAGACCGGGTTTAAAGTTAAAAACCGATCTGGCCCAACCTGATTACTTTATATATATATATATTAAGAATTTTATTTTTATATTACTAATATATTATTTAATTATTAAAATATAAATTATTATAAAATATATTAATCTAATTGTTTAAAATATAATAAATAATTATAAATGTATTATTATAAATTATATTATTTTAATTATTTTAAAATATTAATATATTCAGATCTGGTTGGGTCGGGATCGGAGTTTTAATCTAAAATCAGGACGGAAAAAATTGAAAATTCATTGGAATAGGGTGAGACTAGGGATGTGCCTTTGAACCGAGTCCAATTGGTTTCGACCCGACCCTATAGAATCGGTTTTTTAAATAATCGGGTCGGGTTATATGGGAGAGAAGGTCGGGTTTGGATTTAGAATTAAAAATACCTGACCAGACCCAGTACTATTATAAAATAATATTTGAAATTACCAAAATGTCATCCAGTGTAGGTGTGGGTGTGTGAGCGCATGCGCACCTGCGTATGCTTGCGTGCGCGCCTGCGTATGTGTGCGTGCGCGCGTGTGCGTGTGTGTTATTTAGGGTGCGTTTGGTTCACGTAATGTAAGATTACCAGTGAGAATAAAATATTACCAGGGAATATGATTACTGGGAATGTTGTATTTTGTGTTTAGTTGGTTTAGTAGGAATGTAAGATTACCGTGTTTGGTTAAAGTAATAAAAGATTATTGGAATGTATATTTGACCAAATTGTCCTTATTATATATTTGTTTTTTAACAAGTTGAAAAATATTTATATATTTTCTTTAAAAAAATTAAATTCATAAAAATTATATATTTTTTTACAAAATTAAAAATATAAAAATATTTAATGAAAGGGTAAAATTTCATTTTAATCCCTGAACTTCATATAAAATTTTAAATATAGATTTTTTTTTGTAAATCTAAAATAGTTTAAGGATAAATTTGTAATTTAACCTTCGTAGAATTTTTATTATTCAATGACAGAATAATGATATTTTTAAAGAACAAAAAAATTAATGGTATTTTAGTCCAAAACGTCGATAATCCAACAATACCTAAGGAAAGGGAGGTAATGACATTCCCGGTAATATACCCAAAAAATCTACTATTGGTAACGTAAGATTACCGAGAATGACTTTCGCGGCCAACCAAACAGGGGAATGTGGATTCCATTCCATAGGAATCTCACATTCCCCCAACCAAACACACCCTTAGGTTGGCCGGGAATGTCATTCCCGGTAATCTTACATTACCAATAGTGGATTTTTTTGGTATATTGTCGAGAATGTCATTACCTCTCTTTCCTTAGGTATTGTTGGATTACCGACGTTTTGGACTAAAATGCCCTTAATTTTTTTCTTTCAAAAATATCCTTATTTTGTCATTGAATAATAAAAATTCTACGAAGGTTAAATTACAAATTTATCCTTAAATTATTTTAGATTTACAAAAAAAAAATCTATAATTAAAATGTTATATGAAATTCAAGGATTAAAATAAAATTTTACCCTTTCATTAAACCTTTTTATATTTTCAAATTTGTAAAAACACTTATATAAATTTTATGAATTTAAATTTTTTAAAGAAAATATATAAATATTTTCTAACTTGTTAAAAAAACAAATATATAATAAGGACAATTTGGTAAAATATACATTCCAATAATCTTTTATTCCTTTAACCAAACACGGTAATCTTACATTCCTGCTAAACCAACCAAACACAAAATACAACATTCCCAGTAATCTTATTCTCTGATAATCTTTTATTCTCACTGGTAATCTTACATTCCGTGAATCAAACGCACCATTAGGGTTTTGATTCTTCTCTTTCATTTCATTTATGTCGTTCCTTCTTCTCTTCTCTGTTTTCTTTTTCTTCATTCTTCTTCTTCTTTAGTCTTCTTTCATTCTTTATTTCTTTTACTTGTTTTTCATTTTATTTCTTAGAAATTTACTTTGATTTTCTCTATAATCAATAACAATTGTCTCTTCTATCTTATTTTTACAAGAATCAGTATCAATCTACACGAAGATTCAAGTACTAAATTAATTTTTTTTCTATTTTTTTGGTTTATTTTTGAGATTATGGTTAAAAATCCCAGATTTATGTCATAGTTTAGTTTTTAGTTTGTTTTATTTTTTATCATGCATGTTTGTTTTTGTTTGTTTTTTGTTTGGTTAGTGAAAAAGTGAGAAAATAAGGGAACAGGTAAAAAAGGTGAAATCTGAAATTGATCGGGTCGGGTTAGATCGGGTTTTTAGTTCAAATTTTGGGTCAAGTGACGGGTGGAGGGTAATACTTTTCGAGTCGGAGTCGGATATATTGAAAATTCGACCCGGCCTATGCTCATCCCTAGCAAGACTAGATTTTAAATATATATTTTCGGGTCGGGGTCGGGGCGGCAAAAATCCCGGCCCGCCCCACCCCACCCCACCCCGTGCCCATGCCTAGCGAGAAAGGATACTTCAACAGCTCCAGAAAGAAAAGCAAAGGGAGCATGAATTGGCTGAGAAGTCTCTCGATTTATACATTCGATCTCTCTTAAATTCATCCATATTTAAAAAAAAAAATACATGGTTTGGTCTAATAGCTAATCATTCGCTTTATTCAACTCTTGGTTTTGAACACTCTCAAATTCATTTATTTTTGTTTAATTTTCATTAGAATTAAATTAATAATTTT